TTTGGATTCATTTTTGAAAAATTTTTGAAAAAAACTATCTGCTTTTATATTTAATTTTTGTATAGTTATGACTTTATAATAAATAAATGGTCACTATATTGTTCCTATTTTTTTATCACTTGATTAATGAATTGTTACTATTTTGCAATAATTCTATCATAATTTAATTAAAGTTATCTTGAAATCATACTGTCACAATGACATTTTATTAATAATTATAGTGACAATATTGTCACTATTTTGCAATTAAAAGTTATTGCAATATAGTTATGATTTGTTTACTATTTTTTTAAAAAGAGTTGATAATAATATCATCATCGAAACAATGATTTAATTATCACTAAATGACTAAGATTTTGTTGCAATATAGTAAAAACCCTTAAATCATAATTGAATCTCCACAATTCAGTTACAAAATCACAATGATTATATGACTAGACTGTCAGAATTTGATAGGTTTCAGTAAAGTATGCATATTGTCAAAAACTATAACCAGGAAATTAATTTCTAAACTTTTAAGCCCAGTGAAATTATAGTATAGTGATAAATTATTGATATATTAGTATTAGTTTTATAGATTCAATTTCAAATAATAATAATAGGCTGTGAATCTATTTTAGTAAATTAATCATTAATAAATAATAATTAATACTAAAGTATTATATATACTATAAATACTTATTAATTGGTTTAAACTCTAAAGTTTAAAAAGTTGAAACAATATATAAAGCTAATAAGCACTAGTTATCTGATTATCAAATATATACATAATCAAAGGCTATAATTAAGAAATTTATTTCTTAAACTTTAACATATAAAAAAAAAATCTTTCCTGTTTATTATATATTTCTTAAAAATTTTCTTTTTAGAAAGTTTTTTTTCTTTTAAAAAAAAAACTTTTATTAAAGAACTTACAAATATATTAATTAGCAATATTATACTGTACTTTCTCTAAAGATATAATTCTTATTGATAAAGAAGCTATAAAACCAAAAACAGCTTTTTTTATTCTTAAACAAATTGTTTTAGATAGCAAATTAAAAGTATCATTGGGATTTGTATTAGCTTCTTAATAATAAAAAGTTAAGTGGTATTTTTTATATAACTAAAAGCTACAACTAACAAAGCATAACAATAATATTGATATAACAAAACACAAAATTATAAATATAAATAAAGATAAATACTCTCTATTCTTTTTTACAAACTTTATTTGTAGCACAATATTCAATCTTTTGTTTATATGGAATTAAATATTTTGTAACTAAACTTTAGCTAACTATAATGAATAGTAATAATGGTATCTTACTTGAAATAAGAAACAAATGATTAATTCTAGTTAAAGATTTTTTAGACTAGATAAAGATTATTAAAAAAATATAAAAAGTTTAAACTGATTATAAACTTTATTAGAATTGCAACAGTATATAAAACAGGTTTTTTTAAAACAATAAATAATTTTTTTTTCTTTTATAGTTTTATAAATATATCTTGTAGATTTTAAAAGAATTTTTTATAAAATTACTATAGATATTATATATAAATATGTATATTTATTTTTATATTTATTTTTTTTGATTTTAATAGATCTAATTAAAGCTAATAAGATATAACTAGTCTGTAACTAACTATATTCAAATTGTTTTGCTAAGTTTTTGTTTATCACATGATAAATAGAGACTTAGAGGTATAGTATATATTTTGACAAGTTAGTTTTTTATCTATATTATTATAGCTTTAGTATTAATAATATAGAAAGTATAAAGAGTAACAAGCTGATTGATAGGTAGTTTTTTATCTTAAATAGCTTAAAAAATAAATAAAGTTATACTTTGTATTGTTATAATTATTAGTAGTACTATTTTTAAATTATTATTTTATAGTATTATATTATTTTATTATTTCTATTATTAGTGTAACAATACTATTGGCGAAGTGAGTAACACAAGGTGTGTTACACAAGTGGCATGAACAAGCCAATAGAAGGAGCAACATTTTAGAAATACAATGGCCTAATCTATGTCTCTTTAGAACATTTGGAACTTGAAATATCTTGAGTTAATAATTTTCTATTATACCTAGGACATGTGACATATACAGGTGATATTTAGTACATGGCACATGATATGTGACGCCCAATCCCAAAAGGTATTTAATATTATAATAGTATGAGTTTACAAATACCAATAATTCTATTTTGTTTTACTTTTAGTTTCTCTAATTATTAGTAAGGGATTTTAAAGGTATTAGGATAATTAGAATGAAACACTAGTTTATTATTTTATTGTTTCACTTTATATTACATACATATGATCTTCAGAGAACCAATAAGATTATATGTACTATTTTAGACTTGTATTTCTACTTTAATTATTTACTGTATATTAGAAAAACATTTATATAAGAAAACACTTTTTTATTTGGAAAATAACAGAGTTACTGGTTTCTCTTACAATTAATAAAGTTTTTCTTTATTAATTACAAACAATGCCTTGTTTATGATTTCTTTAATATGAAACATTACATATTGTAATATGGAATGTTACATTTGATAATAGCAAATACTTCTTTTATCACATTCTTTTTTTAAAATTCCTTCTTGTTTTCTTTCTTCTTGTTTTTTTTCTTACGGAAAACACCTCTTGTCACTTTTCTTAAATAATTCTCTCTTGTTTTCATCACTCTTCTCTCTCCAAGTCCCATAATGGTTTGCCCAAGGTTACATGGGATCAGCAAAGGTATATGAAGGTTATGCGAAGCGAACTTGAGATCATTATGAAGGTCATCGCAAGGGCTATACAAAGGAATCATCAAGGTGCATCGAAGGTTACACAACAGGTTAAAGGGAAGACCACATCTCAAGGATCTATTAAGTGACACAAAAAGAGATATACAAGGTTATATGAGATTTTACACACAAAAAAATGGAAGTTTCTTAAGGTTTTCTTTAAAAGAACTTACTAAAAATTTGTCAAAGGATCTATGAAGGTTCCATGAAGATAATGCAAAGGTCTCACGAAGGTTACGCACAGGATCTATACCAAGGTTGTCATCCACAAGAGTAAAATATTATTATTTGCTTAAGTAATTTCATAAAGACACTACATAGCTGTCAACGATTTTACATATATTGATTAAGGGCTAGTCAATTATATAACATTTAGGTTTTACCTATCTGTAGGATGATATTTGAAGCTATAGCATTTTATGAAATTATTAATATTATTTTATAATTGATTGCTTTATATATATTGATATTATACTTATCTTTTTTATATAAGTATATCCAATTGTATAATGAATCTTGTGGTTTGAAAATTCTGAAATTGATATTAATGTGACAACAAAAACCCACTGAGTATCACCACATTGTCACATTGTTACCGGTCCACTGAGCATCACAGTGATTTGGTACAACATTAATACAAGATAACACAAAACACAACAATTTTATTCATTCTCTAATACTTCTACATCTGGAAAAGAACTCTCATCCTCAGATATAGGATTAGGAAGGTTGCTACCAGAAATGTGCCACTTAAAATTGTTAGGATCTTGCCCAGGATTTGCATCAGAATTCATAAAGACCTAGGTTTTATTTAACACCCACTTGAAAGAACTCTCTTTAGTATTTACAATCCAAGGAACCAACTGCTTGTTAGGAATTTCTTCAAACCCTTTCTCTATTTCCATTTTCAACTTGTTCACATGGTTACGCAGAGAGGTTATCTCTTGTCTCAAGGCTTTTTCCTGAATTAAACTATAAGAAAGTCTATCGACATTCATTTTCAGGAGGGTCTTGATCCTCTTCGCATGTTTGGTTATCACTTTCTGATCTTTCACCCTGACAGTGAACAGGATTCTCTTGTGCTCTTCATATTAGACACACAGTTTAAAGATCTTTTCTTGAAGTTCTGTCAATTGTTTTAACAACTTCACCAAGGGTTCTTAATATTCAGGATAGTTATAGGTAGCAATGAACTGATGAAGAATTTTTATTTGTTCTTGAAGAATAATGATACAACCAATTATAGCATCTGGATGTTGGGCAGCACAGATCATTCTATTGATGTAAGGTATTTTCTTGAAGTTTCTTGATATAATTGTTGATAAATTATTAAAAAATTTTTTATTAGGACACTATGCAATAAATACAAAAATTCTTGGAATTTTTGCATCAATCAGCAATTTTGGGGTAATTGGAAAAGGCTACAACACATGGTTACAACTATACATGCGGTATAAATTATTTGCTATTGACTCAATTTCCAAAATCCTCAAAAATAATTGTGTCATGACTCAATTATTTATATGTTTTAATAATGACTCAATTAATTGCGTCAAATAATTGCGTCAATTGCGTCAAGGATCTACGAATTTCAGCAACATATATAGTTACAACAATGCAATATATGACAACAATAACACCACATGGTAATGACAATGACAACACATGGTAACAACAATGAACAATGACAACACATGGTAACAACAATTGAAATGTGCACAACACATGACAATAATAAAAAACAGAAATGTAGATCAATGATACAACTTGCTAAATTGGAATCAACTATGACCTGCAGAACATGACAATCAAATTTGTAACATAATGATACAACAAATATGGAAATTTAATTGACAAGGAAAAACCAATCAATAACACTTTCACTAATGAATTGCTCCATAGGTATTTTGAAGGCTTAAGACAAAATATAAACGACTGTATCACGTGACACAAAGGCATAACACTACAAGGTATCACAAAGAACACCAAAGATGAATGACACACTGGAATATAGGATCGCAAACCGTTACACAATGTATTACAACATACACTATACAAAGGTATAACGTCACACAGGTTTGAAACAAAGGTTGGATCAATGGATACAAATCTAAACCCCATGGTATAAGTCTGGACAGCATTTCGATATAGGGTTCGATTATAAGGCTGGGTGCAGCATTGACCTTTGAATAGATAAACACCATCTGGCATTTCAATCCACGGAACATGACACGACCGTACCATACGCTGTACTAGGACGGACGACACACACACCAGGGAACGTAGTACGAAGCTCCGGACGACACAGTAATACGAGGTTACCATCAGGCCGCCGGAACGCCGCCATATTCTCCGGATACTGCCGGAACGAGAGGTTGCCGCAGTACCGCCGGAAGGACGACACTAGCTCAGGACACCACTGAAATACGCTGATGTCGACGTAACACGGGGTTGACGCCGCATCGTCGGGATGACGCTATATGCGCCGGACGCCGCAGCAATACAGGATTGCCGCCGCACTGCCGGGACGCCGCAGTATAGCAGCGTACAGGACGCTACAACACGATACCACGACATAGGATGACAATACACGATGCCGTACAACACGAAGTAATGACGCCGCAACACGGTACGCCACCGTACAACATGTTAGATTGAACGCCACAACGTGATACACCACCGCATAACGTGCCGCAAGACAAGACGTCGCATACATGACGCCACAGTATGATACGCCGCCGCACAGCACCGTACAACAGTCCGTATCGACGCCACAGTAAAATACGCCGCCGTTTCCATTATATTACTAGCCGCCGCAATGTTAGCCACCAGCCACAGCATTTTGCCGCCGTTGTTAATGCATAAAACGCCGCCATAATCGCCGCCGCCACCAACCATAGTGCGCCGCAACGATTTTTGCCGCTGCCACCAGCCACAGTGCGCCGCCGCAGCTTTTGCCGCATAATATGCTATTACAACCGCCGCCATATGTCACATGGAAACGCCACTTACGCAGATCGCGCCGCAACGTTACACGAAGCGTATAACGTTATGATACTATCAAAACGCGAAGCAAAACGCCGCCAAGACCAAAGGAACGTCGCGAAACGTAACACGGACGACGCCACAGTAAGCTACAAGCCTCTGAAGCTAACGTCACTAGCCATAGTATATGACGCCAAACTAGTCACACTTTTTTTATAAGCCGCATCTCTGCCTAATTATATCAAAATGGCCAAAAAATTTTTTTCAAGGTCATTGAGGACAATGACTTATTAAGGAGGGGAAAATGTAACAATACTATTGGTGAAGTGAGTAACACAAGGTGTGTTACACAAGTGGCATGAACAAGCCAATGGAAGGAGCAACACTCTAGGAATACAATGGCCTAATCTATGTCTCTTTAGAACATCTGAAACTTGAAATATCTTGAGTTAATGATTCTCTATTATACCTAGGACATGTGATATATACAGGTGATATTTAGTACATGGCACATGACATGTAACACCCAATCTCAAAAGATATTTGATATTATAATAGTATGAGTTTACAAATACTAATAATTCTATTTTGTTTTATTTTTAGTTTCTCTAATTATTAGTAAGGGATTTTAAAGATATTAGGATAATTAGGATGAAACACTAGTTTATTATTTCATTGTTTTATTTTATATTACATGCATATAATCTTTGAAGAACCAATAAGATTATATGTACTATTTTAGACTTGTGTTTTTACTTTAATTATTTATATTAGGAAAACATATACAGTATATAAGGAAACACTTTTTCCTTTGGAAAATAACAAAGTTGTCTGGTTTCTCTCACATTTAATAAAGTTTTCCTTTATTAATTACAAACAATGTCTTGTTTATAACTTCTTTAACATGAAATATTATATGTTGTAATATGGAATGTTACAATTAATTATCTAACCAATATAGTATAGTAAGTAGATTATATATGTAACAGAAATTATTGAATTGAGTTAAGCATAATTAAAAATCAAGAATTTGATAATTGAGTCAAATGAATTTTTTTATAGTTGATATAATTGATGCAATTGTGATGCAATGTCACAATTATGCTGCAATTATTTTAATATAATACAATCATATGATTTTGTTGCAATTATATAATTTGACACAATTGTGTTGCAATTATTTTAATATTATGCAATTATATAATTTTATCACAATTATTTTTAATTATGATACAATCACGTGATTTGCCACAATTATGTCACAATGCCAAAATAGTGACACAATTTTTGATTGGTTAATAAATTTAATTTATAAAAATTTATATATATTATATTTTTAATTGTTTACAATTAATATTTCTGTAACCAGTAATTCAATTTGAACAAAAATTATACTATTCAAAAGCTCTTAATGAGAAGAATCTAATGGTAAAATTTTTTATTTAAATTGGACTATTTGTTATAAATATATTAATTATAAACAACTAAAAATATAAGATATTATATATAATTTTAATAATTTATAATTAATATCTTCAAAAATCTAAAAAAACTCTCACCCGTTCACCACTGATTTTTTGAAAATTTCCTTTTTAGGAAATCTTTTTTCAAGAAGCGTTTCACTTTCATTATTCCCTAAGGCAATAAGCTCTAAATCCAAAGGACATAAAGACTTTAAGGAACACTGTTGCATTGGGATGGGACCTCTGGTCAAGACCTAAGCAAGTT